TCGGCCATGCATCTATGGGCTCACCGGCAGGTTTGGACAGTCCTACAATACGGGGATGTACACCGAAACGTGTCAGACATGGATACTACGGTGCAGGATGGCGTGGTCTACGTGGAGGACAATGACTAGTCGAGGATTAGGAAACTACTCGTAGCAATTAGAGTAGGACTCTCTAGTTGAATCCGACTAGTACTCATGTAACACAATCGACCTGTAACCCTGCCCCCCGGCAATATAAGGCGAGGCAGGGACCCTTCCAAACAATCATCAATCAATACAATCCAACCAACACACATAACGTAGGGTATTACGTGACATAAGCGGCCCGAACATGTCTAAATAGTGTGTTCGAGTTCACCTTTGAGTTCTGGGTCTTTGGCGAGCCCCACGCATAAAACTAAGAAGTTCTACATATTCAGACGAATTCAAGTTGAAAAAAAGGAGTTGCTCCTTCGGCAAAACTAGGATAGAGTTGAGCCAAAGGGTCGCGATTCAAAGATAAATTCATGAGGAAGTGGTCTGCCGCAACGTCTATACAAAGGATTACCATAAATTAGAAAAAAAATATCATTTGATTCGTGGAATTGTCTGTTATTCAGCCTTTTAAGTTATAAATTAGTCATAATTTGTAAATTTGATAATTACGATCCTGCATTCCATTTTGTGACCATTTTCATTACAGCTCTCGACCCAGGTCAGAGCAGTCACTTGTGCTATGGGCGACTCCCCAGTTGCATGACATCGACGCGTTGGACATGATGGTCGATCCTGCACTCAAGGGTCTATCCAAGTCATCCGGGTGGAAGGAGGCTGGAGAACTTTGCGCAGCTTCCTATGTTGCCTGAGCTCCCTTGTCTTCTTCGACCCTTCGCGTCTCTCGCCCGGAGAGGGGAGATCGGAGAAGATTCGGAAAGGAGGGGACGGCAATAGGAGCTTCAAGCGCAGCATTATTATTTTGCATGCGCTCTTTTTGTTTGTTTTGGCCACGAGTTGTAGGGTAGTCCCTAGGTTGTGCCTATGCGCCTTGCGCGATATTGTAAGGCCCTCGGGTCCTTGAGTTCGCACGCTTCGTGTGATATTGTAAAACCCTTTGGCTCATGTTTTCATCTTAATGAAAAAATTGCTTGTTATATATGATCTGTGTGCCCATTGCGCCTTCGTGGCGGCTCTGAGACTTTAAGATGCACTCTTCCCTTCCACTAGCTGTGTTGCATAGGGCAATCGAGTTAGATCGGATGTGCTAGCCCCCGAGCAAGTATCAGCGCCCAGCTTTCGCCGGGTCGATTGGCAGAAGCCGCAGGGGGCGCGTCAGGTTAGTTCTGACGCCCAACTTCTGAGGAGTGAGCTATAAGGGGTGCGCCGTGTTGTGCAGGGTGACTAGTTCCCGAGGGTCTACCCTTAGCCTATGTTTCGCTGGGTTCGCGCGAGCGGCCCCAGTGGGTCTAGCCCCCGAGCCTGCGGCTAACTGGCGAGTCAGTCGGAGGCTAAACACTCGGGCGTCCCTCGAAGATGAGTTTCAGCAGGGTACTAGTCGTCTTCTCCAAGGAGAAGGGCTTATGCCCAACCCTCGTGGAGGTAGCTGGCGCAGGGCGCTAGGGCTCGCCGAGTCGCGTTAGGGTGATCAGTTCTCGAGGATTCGCCCTTAGTCCGTGTTCTGTTGGGTTCGCGCGAGCGGACCCAGTGGGTCTAGCCCCCGAGCCTGTGGCTGACTGGGGAGTCAGTCGGAGGCTGAACACTCGGGCGTTCCTCAGAGATGGATCGAATAGGGTGCTGACTGCCTTCTCCAAGGGGAAGGATTACTACGGATCCGGTTTCCGCCGGGCATGCGCGAGCGCGCCCGATGGGTGTAGCCCCCGAGCCTACGGCCGACCAGGAGGTCGGTCGGAGGCTAAACACTTTGTGCGTTCTTTACTAGGGGCCACGGATCCTAGCATCCTTGTCCTTTGGTCGGGGGATTTTGTCGGCGCCGATCCCGAACATGACTCGTGTTGTTCGTTTTGTCCCTAGGTCGGGATCTATCGGCCCGAGCCCCTGAGCCCAGCCGGACTCGGGCGGCGTCGGTCGGGTTTCATGCATCACCCAGTCCTTGGTCTCCGTGACCGAAGGGGCTGAGCTAACGTCGCTTGCCTCGATGGCTCGAGTGACGCGCTCGGTGAGCTCGCTAACGGGTCTGTTCGAGTGGAATCCGGGTCCGTCGTTCGTAACAGGGTCAGCATAGCCCACATGGAGCATTCCACTGCTCCTCAACCCGCCTCCCGGTAGATGCCCGAGTCGTTCCGGAGACTGACTCAGGTGGCCCGCTGGCCTCCCCTCGATGGGGATTCTGTGGGCATGGCTCGAGGTTTGGATCGAATGAGAAGGTCAAGATGGTCCCTTCCGCACTGAGCAGGTCGAGCGAAGGCCGCTGGGGCTCCATCTGTGTTTTCTCCCCTAGCTCTGTTTGACGCGAGGCGGCCTTGAAGCCCTCCGCGCGCCGGCCTTCGAACCCCGGTCGGTCGCAGCTTGTTCTGGACAAGCCGCTATTGCTTTGTGACGCGACGCAAAGCAATTGAAATGAATGCAAGATGCAAAAAATGAATGAATGTTGGGTGCAAAATGATGCATGAATGAATGTAAGACACATAAATGAATGCAAGATGCAAAATGATGCATGAATGAATGCAGGACGCAAAATGATGCATGAATGAATGTAGGATGCAAAATGTAAGAATGATGTATGAATGAATGCAGAATGCAAAATGCAAAAATGATGTATGAATGCATGCAAGATGAATGCGAGTGCGTATAGATTGTGAAGAAAAAAAGGGGTTGGTAAAGTTACCTTGGTTGGAAAGTTTCGGGTGTCATCCCCTTTGTATTTTCCTTGGTCGTGGGGGCCAGGCTGTCATTTGTGAGTTATAAAAATAAAGGTGGGGAACTGGTCCCGCCCGTTCTCATTTTCATCCTCGGACAACCTCCACCTCTTTGCCCCTTCCTTCTCAGACCTACCTGTTGATGTAGGCTACAACCTTAAGAACCTAGGCATGGCCCTCGAGGTTCAGCTGCTCGTATCGTAGTCGTGGCGAGGTCCAATCAGTCCGAAGGCTAGAGTGTCGGTTGCTTTCGGAGTGAGTTAGAGGATGGGAAGCCCTTCAGCTCGGGCATGCCCCGTTTGTTTGGGCGAGATGCATGATTGAATTATGCAAAAATTAAGAGAGGGGGGTAGTGCACCCCCATGGAGCCCCCGAGCGGCCTAGTCCGAGTGTGCTCGGGCCAGGGTGCTGTTGGAGCAAGTGCGTGATGGAAGCATGACTGGAAAAGGAACCGAGTTAGGGAAAGAAACGACGTAACTGCTCGATGTTCCAAGTGTTGGTGAGGATGTTGCCGACTTCGTCCTTCAACCAGTAGGCGCCTAGTCGGATCACTTTGGCCACTGTATAGGATCCTTCCCATGGAGGAAAGAGCTTGTGTTTGTCCTTGGTCATCTGGATCCTGCGAAGCACAAGGTCGTCGACCTCGAGGGTTCTTCCCCAGATCTTCCTTTTATGGTACCTACGAAGAGTCTGCTGATAGCAGGCGGAGCGGATGAGCGCCATCTCGCGTGCTTCCTCGAGCAAGTCGATCGAGTTCTGTTGAGCCTCCACGGCTCTGTCATGGTCAAACGCTTTTACCCATGGGGCACCATAGTCAAGGTCGGATGGCAACACCGCTTCCGAACCGTATACCAGGAAGAAGGGATGAACCCCGTTGATCGGTTCGGAGTCATTCTCAGGCTTCAGAGGACTGTAGGGAGCTCTGCGACCCATCGCCTGGTGTATTTCATAAGCCGCTCGAAAATGCGTGGCTTGAGTCCTTGTAGTACCATGTCGTTAGCTCGCTTGACCTAGCCATTGGTTCGTGGGTGTCCGACCGAAGCCCAGTCGACCCTAATGTCGTACCCATCACAGAAGTCTAGGAACTTTTTTCCGGTGAAATTTGTCATGTTGTCTATGATGATACAATTAGGGATGCCGAACCAGTAGACGATATTGAGAAAGAACTTGACGGCCTCTTGCGAGCGGACGTTCGTGATGGGCTTTGCCTCGATCCACTTTGTAAATTTATCCACTGCCATGAGTAGGTGGGTGTGACCATGCCGAGTCTCCAGACAGCGAACGACCAGGTGATGGGGATGGTCTGAAGTTCTTGCACCAGCAGGTGGGTCTGTGTAACACCCCTGGTGTTACGAGCTCGTTAGCACCGCGATTTAGGCCTAAGAAAATTTGCGAAACGGGTTTCTCGGAATTTTTGATTAAAAATGTAATTGATGCGATAAGCTAATCCTATGTGACTTAATTTTTTTTAGGCTCGAATCAGCGCCCAAGTTAAATTACGCAGTGTATAGAAATATTTAGGAAAGTCGAACGATGATTCTAACGAACGGTTTATTCTGCTAGATTGAGCTTGAAAAGCAACTTTTATAAATAAAATAAAATCTATTAATAAATAGAACGATATATTCCGTCGTTAATATATCGTTCTGGTTAGCGTCCTCGTATCAAATGTGCGCCCACGGACATTTAACCACAATTTACTAGTAAGACACGGGAAAAACTATATTCCTACTGATGCGTACAGACTAGTATTATAACAATTTTGTACATGTTTATATTATCCGGGTGTAATTAAGCAAGTTCGGGGCCCGCATTAGTGTAATAATTATCTAACAATTTTGCCATGGTTAACGCTGAGGCTCTGCATTGCTCTCCATTGGGAATCCATATTTTTGTACTTCTACCCTATGCATGGCCAGCTATTAATATATTTCCTAACTTAATTGAAATTTGGATTTTGGGTCTCTTGTCTGCACCGTTTTTATTTGGCAAATAGTTGTAAACCTTTTCCCACCAAACTGTGCAGCTTTTTCGTCACATTTAATGGCCTTGGCCTCTTTTTTGGAAATTGGGTAGCAACTAAACAAGGGCTTAATTGAACCGCGCTGTTGTAAACCTTTAGCTTTGGCCTTGGCCTCTCTTGATGTGTCAGGCCACTCTGTCCTCTCTCACTGTACATTTGACCGACTGTTCTCTTTCTTTTCTTTTCTCCGCTGCAACCCTGTCTGTTCCGGTCTCTGTCTGTCTCCTGATTTCTCGTGACTGTCTCTGTCTCTGTCTGTCTCCTGCTTGCGTTGCTTCCCTCTCTCTCACACTTCCTTTTTCTGCTGCTGTGAGGAGACGCTCTAGCTCTAGTTCACCGTCGCCCGGCCGCAGAGCGCAAGCGCACCGAGTCCCTGGCCTGCGCTGGTTCGCCACCCGAGCACGCGCCGCTCCCTTGGTACCGCGCCGAGCACAGCACCACGCCGCCCCACGACCTGCTCCACTACCGCGCCCGAGACCCACAACGCCATCCCTCTCCTTCCCCCTCTGCCTTGGTCCACCGTCGTGGCCAGGCGCGCCCGTGTTCCGTGGCTCTCTCCCGCGCGCGTGCTCGCCCGAGCTGTGAAGCACCTCCCCGCTCCTCCGCACGCTGCTCGCTTCCCCCGCGAGCGTGCACGAGTTCCTTGGCCGTGCGTGGCTCTCCATTCCTTCCTTTTCTCGCTGCTGACCGCGCGCAAGTGCCCGCCATGGCCAGCCACCGTTGCCGCTCCTGAGTCCCGCGCCGGAGCCACCGTAGCTCCACGCCGCCGTTTTGCCTCGCGTGCCTGCGCGCGTGACCCGGCGATTCCGCTGCGCTGCCCCACGAGCCATGTCCGCCGGTCTGGGAGTCCAGTCTCGCCAGCATCGCGCACCCGTGCCTTTTGCCGCGCTGGACCTGAGCCTGGGCGCTGCTCCTCCCGGGCGCCCGCAGTCGCCCATACCCGGAGCCCCGCCAGTCCGCGCACCTCCTCGCGCCTCCTCCGCAAGCCGCTGCTCCGGGCGCCCTTCTGCCGGACCGCAGCAGCCGCCGGCCGCCATGCCCTCCCCTGGTGTTCTGTTTCTAGGCAGAGAAAGGACCCGAATCGACTTAACGCCGCCGTCTGGCCCTGGTCGTGTGGACCGCACTCATCCGCGTGGGTCGGCCTGCTCGCCGCCGCGCCTGGGCCACTTCGGCTTGCGTCCGCGCCGTTTGGGCCGCACAGGTGTCGCCCGCGCTGGGCTGGCCTATCGCCGCCCGCGTACGGGCCGTCCGCATGCTGGGCCGGCCTGCCTGTCGCCTGGGCCCCTGGCCGCGCTCGCCGCTCCGCTGGGCCGCTCGAGCCAGCGCGCGCGCCGTGGGCCGAACCGCTACTGGGACGGCCACCGCGCCTGGGCCGCGTGTGCGCGGACCACTGTCTTGGTCCGCTGGGCTGAGTAGGTGATTGCTGGCCTCTTTATTTTTCTTAAGCAATTTCTAAATTCGCTTATAAGGCAAAACTGTAAAATCAATATAAATCTGTGTAGTGATCCAAAAATTATGAAACTAATTTTATTAGGTTTATAAAATCAGGATCTACTTGTTAGTATAATTTATTCACCTAGTTTTAAGATGGTTCCAGGGTTGCTCTAATTGATTTAGAATGCTTAATATTATGAAAATGTAAACTTGTAGGAATTATTGTGGTAAATTGGTAATAGGGTTGGGTCTGAAATATGTAACGTAGGTTCCTAGTAATATTAGCTGCTCACTGTAATTTTTGTAGCTCTAGAATAATTAGTTGCTAGATATATAATGATGCTCTATTTCAAATAATGGTTAAATCGATAGGATCAAAAAAAGAAACACCTTGGGTTTATATAACTAAAATAATTGTTGGAAAATAACGTCTTATTCGACGACATGGACATGTAGCCTAAGTACGGTCATCGTTAGAACTAGCCGTGAACTCGAGAGGCATACGTCATATTTTACGAGTCACGATTGTAGTTGATTAATTACATCTTTGCATTTGCATCGCATGCATATCATATAGGTATGATGATGAATCAACGGATCGATTGAAGGATGATTGGGAATCTGCAGATGGTGTCATGGTATTCTCTCCAGGAGATGATGCAATGGGCTTTCTATCCATTTGACGGTGGATGATCTGAGGATGCAGATACTAACTTTTAATATATATCTTACCCAGACAAGCCCCGGTGCATAACCCCTACTTTTCTACAGTTTAAATTATATTTGTGCATTAAGTTTTAAGGAGTTGAATGAAACCCACTTGCATATATATCTTTATCCTATGAGTCTTACTAGTATGACAGGATTGTGTAGAATGCTATGCTATAGGACTCTGGTAGAAGTCGAGTGATTACCTGTCACTCGCGAGATATAGGAAATATATTACTGTATTATGATCACTTGGAAAATATAAATGGTGGAAAGGAAAAATGGTGATCGGACAGGGATATGGTTTGGGTATTGGTGCGTGTAAGAGGTTGTGTCGTCGTGGACGCGGGGCATGGCTTGGTTACACTGCTTTCCCTGTCTGTGTCAATTAAGGACCGGCCGTTGCATAAGGCTCTAGGCAAGTCACGGACTTATTATCCCGAGCACATACTTGGGTATGGGCGCTTGGAAGACTTGTTGCTCTCTTGTCGTGGATCCGGCTCTTTCTGGACCGACTGTCAGGGTTTTATTTTGGTCGAGGAGGTCACCGCACTGAGTCCGGGACTCAGGGGCGGGGGATTGGAGTCCTAGTTTGGACGGGGACTTGGACACCCAGGACAGGAGAGTGATGGGTTGGTCCTGCTTGTGCCCGGGGTACAAACAGGGCGTGTGTTTTTGGGGTACCCAGCTGGGGGCATTAATTCACGAATCATCGGGAAATCCGGTACGGCTCGTCTGTGGCCTAGCACCGTAGTAAGAACTGAAAGATGAAAGATGGAAGATGAGAAAAGGAAATCTGATTGCTTACCACCTGGTTGAAAGTAGCACAGGTGCTTATATAGAATGGTTAGTTAATGAACCAATGCGGCTATTAATAAAAAATCAAATATAAGGATGCACACTTAGTAATGCTTCCTGCAAATGTAATAAACCCACAAACTAGATAGCCTTGCATATCCTAGAGTCTTTTCTTTTCTCCTGTCGGGTAAGTCTTGTTGAGTACAATTGAGTACTCAGGGTTTTATTCCCCTCGTTGCAGGTGACAGGTGGATGCTAAAGCTGACTCTTGTGTGTGGATTCTCTCTGATGGGCTCAGTGAGGATTCCTTTATGCTGTGATCGTAGTCGTTATTTATAACTCTCACCAAATGCTTTTATAAATGAAAGTTTCATAATCTGTTGTCGTGGTGTATATATCAATACTTCATCATGCCATGATTAGATAATTATTTCCGCTGTAATTCTAATCACATGTTTATATTTCGCTGTTAAATTAAATTATTCATAACTCTGATAATATGATTATATTCCGCTGTTATAATAATACATATTATACTCTGATATTGTATTAAAGTGATGTAAGAAATGGTTAAGAATGATGTAAGCTTTATTCTCTCATTTGTGATCCTGATGGCAAAAATGTGGATTTTCGGGTTCTTCCCTGGGGTGTGCCCGACGGAACCGAGTAATTTAGTGTTCTCCTTTGGGTGTTTAGTGTCTAAAGGAAGACGAGCACTCCTGGGAGGCATTAGATTAGGCGGTTCTACCACAGTCTGCCGAGCATAGAATTGACCCCCCCCCATGCACCTACGGACTAGCTCCTCTGCGTCACACAGCGTTGTGGGATAGTAGAAACCCTGATGAAAGGCTTTCCTGACCAGCAAGTGTGGGGCGGTGTGATGCCCGTAGATTCTGGCGTGCACTTCGGGGAGAAGCTGCTTCCCTTGGTCGATCGGGATGCACTTCATGAGCACTCCCGACGGACTTCGCTTGTAGAGTTCATTGCCAACGGTGACGAATGTTTTGGCGTGGCGGGCGACTCATCGTGCTTTGATCTTTTCTAGTGGGGGGACCACGTCCAGGATGTAGGTGAGTAGCGGCGCCCTCCAGTCGGTCGGGTCGAGCGTCATTACCGCCACATCGAGGTTGGGGCCCCCATGCGCTTGGTCGGGGTCCGGTAGCGATGCGGGGTCAGAGCCCCCGAGTGACCGACCAGGGTCGCTTGCGCTTGGGGTGGATCTTCCCGGATGCGGGCATACGGTTCGTGAAGGTCGTTCATGAAGACCTCGTCGGGGACCGACTTACGTTTAGCGGCCATCGTTGCCAAAGTATCGGCGGCATCATTGTCCTTTCATGGGACGTGGTGCTGCTCGATTCCCCGGAATTTGTCCTCGAGCTTACACACCTCTTGACAATACGCTGCCATGAGCGGGCTTTTGCAGGAGGACTCCTTCATGACCTAATTGACGACGAGCTCGGAGTCGCCCCGGACATAGAGTCGGGTTGCTCCTAGCTCAACAGTGATACGTAGGCCGTTGATCAAGGCTTCGTACTCCGTGGCGTTGTTCGAGGCATTGAAGTGGAGGCGGATCGCGTAGCGGAGCCTATTTCCCTCTAGGGAGATTAGGACCACTCCAGCCCCCGCACCGATTCCCATGACCGACCCATCAAAGTACATCGTCCAGTACTTATGGGTGACGTCTGGGGTCGAGGTCTGGACTTCTGTCCACTCGGCGACGAAGTTGGCCAGGGCCTGAGACTTAATCGCGGTTTAGGGTGCATACTTGATGTTATGCCCCATGAGCTCGAGCTCCCACTTAGAGATTCATCCCGCGGCGTCGCGGTTTCGAATGATTTCGTCGAGCGGGAATGAGGTGACAACGGTGACCTCATGCTCGGTAAAGTAGTGCAAGAGCTTTTGGTTAGCCATTAGCACGGTGTACAAAAGCTTCTACACCTGGGGGTAATGTACTTTGGTGTCGAGGAGTACTTCGCTGACGAAATATACAGGTCGCTGGACCTTTAGCACGTGCCCGAGCTCCTCCCTTTCCACGATAAGGATGGCACTGACCACGTGGTCACTTGCCGTGATGTAAAGGAGGAGTGGTTCCTCTCGCTCGGGAGCGACGGGGACCGGGGCTAAAGTTAGCAATGATTTGAGGCTCTCTAGGGCCTTCTGGGCCCCTTCCGTCATGACGAATGCGTCAGACTTCTTGAGGAGTATGAAGAGCGGCATTCCCTTTTCCCCGAGTCGGGAGATAAAGCGGCTTAGGGCGGCTAGACACCCTGTGAACCTTTGCACACCCTTGATTTTTTCGGGGTTGGCCTCGATGCCTCGCTCGGAGACAATGTACCCGAGCAGCTTCCCCTTTGGAACCCCGAAGATGCATTTTTTGGGGTTCAACTTGACGCTGAACCTTTGGAGGTTCACGAATGTCGCAGTCAAGTCTGCGATCAGATTGTCCGTCCGAGCTGATTTTACCACTATGTTGTCTACGTAGACAGGGATGGTGCTCTTTGGACGCTCTGTCCCATCAGGCGGGTCGGGTGGATCGATCTAGTCAGTGAAGCACCATTGCATGCACCATTGATAGGTGGCACCGACGTTCCTTAATCCGAACGGCATGGTTACATAACAATATGAACCATAGGGGGTGGTGAAGGAGGTCGCGAGCTGGTCGGACTCTTTCATCGTGATCTAGTGATAGCCCGAGTAGGCATCCAGAAAATAGAGGATTTTGCATCCTGAGGTGGAGTCAACTATCTAATCTATACATGGCAAAGGAAAGTGATCCTTAGGACATGCCTTATTCAGGCCAGTATAGTCAAAACACATTCTCCATTTCCTATTTTTCTTTTTTACAAGAACAGGGTTGGCAAGCCAGTCAGAATGGTACACCTCCTTGATGAAACCGGCTGCCAGGAGTTTTGCGATCTCCTCGCCAATGGCCCTATGCCTCTCATCATCGAAATGGCGTAGGCGCTGCTTGACGGGTTTCGAGTTCAGAACGATGTGAAGTGTGTGCTCGGCGACCTCCCTCAGGATTCCCGGCATGTCAGCTGGCTTCCATGCAAAAACATCCCAGTTGGCACGCAGGAAGTCGACGAGCTCACCT